GAGAGAGAGAGAGAGAGAGAGAGAGAGAGAGAGAGAGAGAGAGAGAGAGAGAGAGAGAGAGAATTGTGCTTATTGTATCACATAGCACCGATGATTAAACGGGAATGCCTTCTTTCTCCTCTCCTTATTTCTCAGGTGGATGGTACTTATCAGCTATTCAGCTCAAAAACTTCAAACACATTACAGTCGTTGTACTCTTTGCCCAAGCAGTGGTGCTGTCTGCCTCATCTTTTTGGATGCTAATATGCAAATTCGTCCTGTTGTGGTCTCCCAAACTCCTCGCTATGTTTCAATAAGGGTACCATTGTCGTTGATGTGCTTTGTTGTGCTCTCCCTGTTGTCGTGTTGATGTGCTTTGCCGTTTGCACGAGTGTTTCTGTTAATTAGTGCCATGTCTCGGTGAGCTTTTACCCTTAGCATGAATATTGGTGTTAATTAGGGCTGCTGTGTTGGCGTGCTGCTCATCGATCTCTTGGTATTTAGTGCTTCAGACTCGCTGGCATCAAACATCAGATGCGCAGGGCACCCTTGAAACTATGCTGACCGAGTTCAACAGTCAGTCACTGCACACTACGTCAGGCACACCCTTGAAACTATGCTGTGCATTCAGTCGATAGACTCGAAACGGCTTGCTGAAGATCGCCTGTTAAGCGGCCACTCCAGTGGCCCCTGCACTGTTCATTTAGCTCGTCTCCAAGTACCGGTCCAAAATGTACAGTGCCACAATTATTTTTCTTGCACCGTAGATTCACGGGGCCCGGCAGAGGTTTGGAGCTGAAGGGTACACCAATTATTTTTCCTCGTGGCGGAACTATAGATGTCAGGCTCGAGGAAATGCAGCTTTTGGTTTGTCAAGACAGGTCCAGATGGAGTCCAGGTTTGACAAGCAGTAAGTAACTTAGGTCTTGATTGGCGTGACGGCTGACATTGTGAGATTTTGTGTGTGGATTCTGCCTGACTGGTGCTGCAGGTTACGGAGGATGGGTGCATTTATCCGGTTACCAATGACTCGGACATCTGGACTCTTGCAGAGCGCCACATACAGATGCGGGTGGTCCTTAAGAATGCTGAGCATCCTCCACAGTGGGGGTCTTTTCCAGACAAGCAGGGCGGAGTAGAGATTCCAGGGGGGCAAGTACACCCTCTTTTGTTGCAGGGTGAAGAGAACTTTGCTACGGGAGTGCATTCCAGAGAGGATCGCAAGGATGCTGAAGAAAGGGTGAATGAGGCCTGCATTGCTGTGAATGCGGTTGCAAATGGCAGCAAAATGGCTCTTGTGATTGCGGCTGAAAATGGGGAAATGGCTCCTGTGGATGCAGCAGCTGCTAATGAGGGGCCTGCTGAGCACAGAATGGGGAAGCTGGCGGGAACGGATGCAGGTAACGGTGACTGTTTCTTCTAATGGAAAATACCTGACCCATTCGTTCGATGTGGTTGAGCTGGGCCATCGGGTCTGGACCCGCACGCAGTACTCGACCCATCTGAAACTCTGGATGGGACAGGGAAAAAACTTCAAAAAAGTTATTTTTTCTTCTTTTTTTCTGGTTTTCGGCGTTTTGATTGATGCACTTGTGCGGCTGTGCCTGGTGAGAACACTTTGATGGACTATACAACTCCCCGGTGTTCGTTTGCAACAGTGCCTTGGGTGGGTGGTGGCCTGGGTGAGGATATGGGGGGTGAAGGGGTTTGTTGTGGGGGTGAATGATCCAGTGGTGATGATTGATGTTGATGGCTAGAATGATGCATGAATGTCGTTGTCACTGCGAACTCTGTCCTTTGGAATGGGAAAGGCCAAGATGACCTGGCTGTCAATGGGCTCCTGAGGATATCACTATTGCTGTTGTTTTCCTTTTCCTGCATGCTAGGGGGATGCGAAGCAATGTATCATATATATTCAATGGCGTAACTCACGGTGCACATATTCACAAGTGTATTGTGTGGCAGAAGGAAGATACACACAGATTTATGCTGCTGACAATGAAGAGCACGCTTGTGGTAGTTGAGGTGATGCCCTACCCACCCTTGGGCAGTACATTGCAAATCTGTAATTGTAACAGGAAGCGAACTTGTACCAACGAAGGAAGCAATAGCAGCCAGCAAGTGCAATGTAAAATGGATGAATAGCTCGCACGACCTCCCTTGTTACACATGGGTGAGGTTGGGGGAAAGAGGGGAAAGAGGAGGGAACTGGAGGAGAAGGAGAGGAGGGAAGAGAGGCTATCATTGAATCAATGGCCCACTCCATCCCTCCCTTTATCGGAGCCGTGGATGTCCTAAAAGAAAAGCTAATCACTTTTGGCCCTGATCCCCTTGTCTATACGTGTCTCTGCGGGTCTCCTCCGAGTGTCTCAAAGTGTCTCTCTACTTGTATATGGTGTGCGCTCTCTAATTGGTGTGACCGCTGGCTGCCCTTCACCTGGGTCCAACCTCGCCTTCACCTGACTTCATAGAAACTCTCTGATTTTTTTGTTTTTGTTTTCTCCAACTGACTCCCTGCGTGACGTGCAAGCCTGCTATCCTCACCCGTGCACTTCAGTTTTCAGAAGTTGGCCAGCCTGAACTGCCTCTTGGCACTCCCACCCATCAACCTCTTCCAGCAGCAGGCTACGACACCCGTTTCCTTTAGGCTGAACTCTATCTCCTGACCATTGCCCTTTGTGATCGTTTCTCATCGCATCCGAGTCTAGCATGCAACCTTGGTTTCCTCAATGTCGAAGATCATGGAAGAGGGATGCTACTATGTGCGCCTATAGGCCCGGACAACTTAGCTCTACTGCTTGCCCTCAATGTCGAAGATCATGGAAGAGGGCTGTTCTTATGTGGACCAATAGGGAGGGTACGGTGGTGGAGATGATCCTCAGCTATGGTTAATGACATTTGGTGCAGTCGTTTCAGTGCTTGATCTGTGAGTGCAACTCTTTCGAACAACCTGCCACTTCACACGGGAGGGGGTTCACTTTCATGCGATCTTTGCGAAATTGTAGTGCTTGCCCAAGTTATCGGGCTGGATGCCTGGCAGGCCCTGAACTGTCTGAATCCTTTTCTGGATGTCTGGACCTGGGCAACCACATGAGTGTCTGTTGGACGCTCCCCCCCCGCCCTCTGATAAGCTGGACATTGAGGCCGGTAAAATGATAATATCAGTGATTTATGTTTGCCATTTTTTGAGAGGTTTGAAACCCCTTTAGAACCGTCGTGTGTAAGTCTCTGTATCTCCTTTTTATCTGAAATAAATTCAAATAATGCCTTAACGCAACCCCGCACCGTCTGAACCCTCTGGACTCCCCACAACCTGAAACGGTGTCTATAGAGATCAGCCAGCAGGGTTCAGGGCCTTCAGGCCCACCATGAGATGTAGCGTCCTAACCACATCTCTTGTGAAGTGGACGTCGAAAGTCCTCCTGTGAGCCATTTTCTGGCTTGTCTTGATCTGCCAACAAGTGGGTCCCAGGGTGTACAGCTCATCTGGTGGAGGAAAAGGTCTGGGAACCATTGCCTGGTAATGTGAGTGCTTGTGGATTTCCGTGTGGTGCATGCGTCTGGAGCAAGATGAGGTTTTAGACTTTTAGTACCGTTTTACGGTGGGGGTCCTTTTACTGTTCCAGTAATCCTCTTGTCCTAGACGTCTTCTTCTCTTATTTTATTTTATACTCGTCTTGAATTTCTAATGAGTATCCGTCTTCTTCTCTAATTTCATACTCTTGTCCTGAATTTCTGATGAGTATTCCATGCGTATGCATTGTGCTGGGTATCTGCTGCGGGGAGAAGGGACCAGGCATTGTGTTGGTGGCAAGGTAATGCTCAACAAACCTTCTTGCAACCGTACAGGGAAGCCTGGAGCGAAGAAGGCGCATGGGAAGCAGGCAGTGGTTAAGAACATTTATTGTGCAAATTGTCTTCTTGTCCTAGACATCTTCTTCTCTTATTTCGCTATCTTATTTTGTATTCCATGTGTGCTGTTGTGTTGGATATGTGCAGATGGGACCAATGGTGATAGCAAGGGTATGCGGAACAGTCCTTGCAATGGTGCACCGAAGCCTACAGCCAAGAAGGCGCAAGGGAAGCAGGCAATGGTAAAGAAAGCTGCCGAGAGCAAGCCATCGGAGGACAATGCAATGCCTGCACCAGCTGGAAGAAAGACAGGAACAAAGAGGGCGGCTGAGGAGAAGCCTTCAGGCGATAAGCTGGCAAAGAAGCAGAAAAAGGAGAAGTCGCCTCCGGTAGAGAAAGCAGCAAAAGAGGACAAGCCTTTGGATGGTAAACCAGTAAAAAGGCAGCGAAAGGGAAAGAAGCCTCCAGAAGAGGAAGTGGCAAAAAAGAAGTCGTCTGATATAAAGTCAGAAAAGAAGCAGCAAAAGGGGAAGAAGCCTCTGGAAGAGGAGGCGAAACAGAATGCTGTGGAAACTGTCCTGGCACCAGGGATGGTGACGATTATGCCGCGGCCTACACCACCAGCAGCAGAGGATAAAGTGGGAAAACAGGAGTTGGTGGATATGAGTGCTGCTCTTGTGAATTTGCCGCTGCCTACACCACCAGCAGCAGAGGATAAAGTGGGAAAACAGGAGTTGGTGGATACGAGTGCTGCTGTTGTGAATTTGTGCTCCAGGGAAGCTTCAGAACTTGAGACGATAGTGACAGCAATCCCGTCCGCAGTTGAACAAACACAGGCAAAGGTGTTGGCAAGTGTGGGCATGACAAAGAGCCCTTCACCACATGAGGCGGCCGACGCAGCCACTCAGGAAAGAGCTTCCGGTGAAGCGGAAGAGGCGCAGAATCGCGGTGAAGAGGAGAAAGCAGCATCTGTACCAACTGGGAGAAAGAGGGGAGCGAAGAGGGCGGCTGAGGAAAGACCTTCAACCGATAAGCCAAGGAAGAAGCAGAACAAGGAGAAGAAGCCTCTGGAAGAGGAAGCAGCAAAAGGGGAGAAGACTTCGGATGATAAGAAGCCAGTAAAGAAGCAGCAAAAGGGAAAGAAACCTCTGGAAGAGGAAGCGACAAAAGAGAATGCTGCAGAAGCTGTCCCGACGCCAGGGATGGTGGTGACTGTGCCGCTGCCTACACCCCGAGGTGCTGAGATGATACCGGCGGCAACCCCATCCACAGTTGAGCCAACACAGGCAAAGGTATCGACAAGTGCGGAGCCAACAAAGAGCACTGCGCCGCTGGAGGCTGCTGATGCAGCCACTCAGGAAAGAACTTCCAGTGAAGCGGAAGATGTGCAGGATTGCGGAGTGAAGAATGGAAACAGCGAGGAAGAATTTGCAGACAGCCAAGAACAGGCAATCAAGGCAAATGGTAATTCCACGACGCGCAAGACTCGCCAGCCTCCGTCAGACGAGTGGGCGTGCATTCATGGGTGTGGCAAAAAGTACTCAGGGAACACAAGGGCCTATAAAAAACACATTCAAGAGTTTTGTCCTAAAAGACCCATCACAGCTCCAACAGGCTGATTTGCATGCCACACTGCTTAGAGCCTGCATGCATTATTTTTAGGTTTGCAGGTTCTGCTGCATTGGTAGTAGGGCGTGGGTTCAAGCCCTGCTCAGTACACGCCCTTAATTTTTGGGTTTGCAGCTAGGCCACAAGCCGTGCGGCCTGGGCCTATTAAGTCTGCCCGGAAACCGCCTGGGATGCCTGGCCGGGCGGACCACCGGGCCTCCCAGTGCAAAATCACGGAACGAGCTTTTTTGAACTGTTGGGCACCCAGATGCGTGACGCGGCGCTTCAAGAACCACGCCGGCCTAAAAAAAAAATACAGGCCCTCAGTTCCCCCATTTTCGTTTGCGCTTCTGTTTGGGCCGTCGATCATCTGCAATCAGCTGCCCATGCTGTCTGCCTGCCCATGCCAGGGCGGGATTCAAATTCGAATTCGACCGGCCTGGTCTGGTTGCGCGTGCCTCCCAGCTCGCAGCTCCAACTCCCCGTAGCCTGTCGACGTCCTGCCTTGCTGCTCCAGATTCCAGGCGCGCTAGAGTCCACTCCAGCTTTCTGTCACACGCCTCCAGAGGAGAACCGTCGCCATCAGGTCAGTCCTCCCTTCCGAAACCTCCTGCTTCGGCGCCTCCTCCTTCTCTCCTCCTCCTCGTCTTCTTCCTCTCCTCCAATGTCTTCTTCTTCTTCTTCTTCTTCTTCTTCTTCTTCTTCTTCTTCTTCTCTGCCATGTCATTCCCTCCTCCTCCAGCTCCTCCATTCTTCCTTCATTTGTTTTTCCCCTACTAGCTGCGGCATCTTTATCTTTACCTCCGGCATCTCTCATTCCTTCTCGTCCACCTCTTCCTCCATCGTTCCTCCCATCGTTTTCTTTTTCTTTTCTCTTTGTCTCCTCGCCACTACGTTCTCTCTCTCCTCCGCCTACCCCGTGTTCCCTCTTCCTCCACCTCCTTTGTCTCCCTCCTCGTCCATCTTTCCTTCCGCCATCTTCCCTCCACCTCCTCCTCACTCCATCGTCTGTTTTCTTTCTTTTTTTTTCTTCGGTTTCGGGCGATGGATCACTTCTTGAAGAAGGGGAAGCCATGCCCATACCGCAGTGGCGAGATATTGCATGAGCTCACTTCGCAAAAGGCGAATATAGTTGGGGAGGCCTCCACAAAGATGCCGTTTCAGTACAGGATGCAGAAAGGAATCGTGGAGGACACTGGATTGGAGCCTGCTGGAGGAGACAAAGATGACATTGCTGAGTTGGAGGAAGCATGTTCGTCCGCCGCCAGCGCCAGGGAGAGATACGAGTGTAGTGCAGGAGGCACGTCCCCTTCAACTTCTTGCGTGTCGATGAGACACGGGCATTGCACAACCTGTACATGGAGCTCGGAGCCACAAAGGCAGTTCTCGACATGGCATCTTCAGAGACCATCCAAACAATGTTGGACCTGGTCTGCGGGCAAGTGCAGAAAGCGGTGCAGCCAATCATTCATAAATGGGACACCACTGGAAGCACGCTGATCACCGAAGGGACAACGGACAGGAAGTGGAGGCCCGTGATCAACTTCATTGCCGCAGGGGAAGGTGGGGCTGTTCTTCTCAGGGTAGTGGACGTGCAGCACAGGAAAGCGACTGCCACAGCAATTGCAAAACTGTGGGAAGAGGTCATCAGAGAAATTGGGGTGCACAGGGTCAACGCGATCTGCACCGACAACGCCGGAGTTAACAAGCGGGCCGCCCGGATTCTAGCGAGGCGGAGTGATCCAGACATTGCCAAAATTTCATGGCTGCCTTGCGCTGCGCACACTCTCAGTCTGCCGATGAAAGGAATTGCAAATCTGCAGTCGGTGGCAAACCATGTGAAGAGGGCGAAAATGATGGTGAGGTTCATCAAGAACCACCATCGTACAGTTGCTCTTTATGCGAGGTGCTCGCTAGAGGAGACAAAGACACTCATCATGCCAACTGAGGTCCGTTTCGCATCGACGTACCAGATGTTGGAGAGGCTGCAGATAGACGGTGGGTCCTTGATGAAAAGATGGACAAAGGGTGGAGGGAAATCCATTGGAGCACAAGGAAGTTAAGAAACAAGGCTCACAAGATCTATCTGACCATGAGGTCAAATGAGTGGTGGGAAGAAGTGGACCGGATTGTAAAGGTTATGAGGCCGGTGAACGAGCTCCTAAGAAGGATGGATAGTGATGGTTTGGCGCCCTCACAGCTGTGGGGGTTTGATGAGATGCTTCAGGGCTGCTTCAGGAGCATTGGTGGCCTTACGGTGGAGCAGCAGGAGGACATAATGAGAGTCGTTGTTGAATCGATGCAGGATGATGCGCCAACCGGCGCATGGAGCCAACTTCCTCCTCTCCCCGCTCCGGAGAGACCCTAGATGGGTGTTGGACAGGCAAACTTCCCTGGTGCAGAACGCTATCACGTATTTCTTAACACAGCTCTGTGGGGAGAGGTGGGGGGCATTGCAGTCTCACATTGATGTGTGGCAGAGCTTGTGGGCTTTTCACGGCGAGCCACCTAGGGAGCAGCGCTTCAAGGAACCCATGTGGGACACATTCGGGCAAGCAGATGCCTCCTTCACCCGCAAAATAAAGTCATAGTACTGGGCAACTTACGGTTGTAACCACAAGGACCTGCAAAAGATCGCAACAAGGGTCACAAACATTTGGAGCACAGCCCACACCCTCGGAGAGAAATTGGTCCCCCCTTGACTTGATCCACAGCAAGAGGAGGAACAATCTCTCAAGCGATAGTTTGGCGAAGCTTGTTTATGTGCATTGGAACATGCAGCTGCAGAGAATTCCTAGAAGTATGAAGGACGGGTGGGTTGATGTGTTGGCAACATTCTTCGATGACCCCGAGCTTCCATCCCCGAATGATGGTGCGATTTTGCCGGGGCCTTTGGAGATGACGGAGGAGGATTTGCAACGGCAGGCTCGCCTGACAAAGACCCCAAGGGGGAGGATTCCAAACGATCTGGATTCAAATGATTCCGCTGCATCGAGCAGCGACGATGACATAATTTGGAGTGAGAAAGGGAACAGAAGGACACAACCGTTGCGAGACGCAAAGGGCAAGGCCCCAATGGGGGAGGAGGATGAGGAGGTTGAGGGGGGGGAGGAGGAGGATTCATATGCAGACTCGGACTTTGAACTGCTCCCATCTGAGGACAGTGATAAATCTGATGATGATTCGGGCGCATTCTCTTGCTGCAGACCTGCTTCTGCCATCCCAGCGTCAGTCCGAGAAGGAGAGAGACCGCTTTGATGAGGAGGACAGGGCAGCAGCAAGGGCCCTTGCAGATAAGGATCAGGTGAGGGTGCAGCAACGCATAGAAGAGGAAGCCACATGGCGCATGGCTGTGCGACCTCCCACAAGGGTGAACACGCATGGAGCGGCATCTGCACCTCCCTCCGCATGCACAACAGGGGCATCTGCACCTCCCTCTGCATGCACAACAGGTGGACTCCACACAAATGAGGTGCAACAGCACCACCAGATGCAATGTGTACAGGTACTGCTGCAGCAATCAGAGAAGCAACAGAAAGAAGACCCGCCTCAGCTGCAGGAGGTTCAAAAACAGTTGCATCAGCATCAGGATGAGAAGGGCCGCAATCAGTGCAACGTGCGACTGGAACAGCGACAGCAAAAGGAGAAGCATGCCGTGCAGCCGGAGGAGCAGCCTGCCCAGTGTATCGTGCAACAAGAGCAGCAACAGGGGCAACGACATGACCAACCGAAGGGCCAGCAGCAACAAGAGGACGAGCAACAACCACCATATGTAGATTGCCCTCCTTCCTTTCCAGAGATGGATGAGTCTCTCGTCCATGACAACTTGGAAATCAGCAGGGCAGGAAGGAAAAAGGAAAATGGACCCGAGTCTCCAATCGCTCCAGTTGTGAAGCGTGGGCGGGGCAGACTGAGAAAGGGACAAGGAAGACCTGACCCGCCACCACCACCAGCAACATGCCGCCCTTCCACACGCAGTGGGGGCAGGAGCCTCCACAAAACAAGGGAAACCCGGGCACGAGTGGAAAGGGCATGCAAGTCATTGAGGATGATCCGACGGTGGGGGAGCAGAGTAGCATAGATGAGGAAAGCAGGGACGAGGACAACGGTGAGGGCAATGACTCCGACCCTTAGGTGATAGTCTTAGGGTGGTGATTGGGCATTTTTTTCTTTCTTTCTTTCTTTCTTTCTTCTTGTTCTTGTACTTTCAGGAATCTCAAACGTCTTCAGACTTCCAGCTGTTCTATGAGGAGAAGACAGCTGTATTTTTTCCTTCCTTTCTTTCTTCTTCTTGTTCTTCTACTTTCACGAATCTCAAACGACGTCAGACTTGCAGCTGTTTCAGGTTTCTCTGCGTCGCTGTTTGCTTGCTGCCTCTCTGGCCTTCTTTTTTTTGTTAGTTTGTCAAACTTGTTATATCGTACTTATGTGATGGCTTCTACTTTGCTTCGAGTGGTTACGGTGGTATCTGAAATTCTGAATGCCATGCTTTCTTTGCCACGTGCTGAGTTTCCCAAGAGATAGATGTCACCATGTAAGGGACGCTGGACCCGTTTTCCAGCAGGTCTCGCTCCCCACCAATAGATCGAGCTCCCCCCCAGGTGTTAGCGGTGTCTGCTCTGATCAGCACCACTAACACTGACGGGGGCGTGTTAAAAAAAAAAAAAAAAAAAAAAAAAAAAAAGGTTGGTTGCCAAGAGATAGATGTCAGTTTGGTGGCTGCAGGGAGAGTTGGCGGACTGCGGTTTGCTCAACTCTGTCAGTTTGCTCCCTTGCTCAACTTCGATGCGAGATCCATTTTGCTGTTAGTTAGCTGAACTCTGTTCCATTTTGATGTCAGTTTGCTGTAAGTTTGTTCAACTTTGTTGTCATTTAGTGTTAGTGTCCACACTGTCGACATCGCAGGCATAGAAGGCACACAATCTTTACAGCTAGTCTTCTGTGCCTGCACCGCACAGGCTATATGCAGCTAGGGGGGGCACAGCCGACCCCCTAATAACCCCCCGCCCCTCCCCCCCTTGTCTGCAACTTCACAAAAAAAAAGGGCGGGATTTGTGCACGTCTAAGGGAGTGCAGAAGTGCCCCCTAGCCGGGGGGGGGGGGGGCGGGGAAGGTGGGCAAAACAACCTGCACAGGTACCCCGGGCGGATGAGTCCCAGGTCGCACTGGCCCGGCCCGCCTGGCCGGGCCGGGCGGCTCCTGTGGCCTAGATGTCTGTCGACTCAATTAGTGTTCCTTTTGAGGACTCAAAATTCCCGCAGAGCACGTAATGGGACAGCAGAGGCAGAGCACATCATCAGACACCCAGAATTATCATGAAGATTTTGTATTGCGGCCCTTGCCCTTTATGTGAGATTGTGTATTGGGGCGCTGCTCTCTGAGAAGCGGTTAACGGAGTCCTAAATTCTCAGGGTTTTTTTTGTCAGGAACATTATAAAAACGTCCCACACCTTTTGTTTATTATTATTAGTTTTTGAACAAACGTCCCACACCTTTTAAGCTAGACTTGACACCAGTCCATAGAGTGGACACCAAATTAACCAACAACAAAGAGAGGACAATATCGAGCAAAGGGGTTGAAAACCCCAGAGCAGAAGTGTCCCCCGGACGTCTCCTCGGACGTCCGTGGTCCGGGTCGTCCGGATTTCCGGACGACGGCTTTTTCGGGGGGGGGGGAAGTCAAAAAAAGTCAAAAAAAAAAAAAGGCTGTCTTGCGCTGGTTTAGGGGGCTCCCCTCACCAAATTTGATGTGAAACAGAGCACTTTTGTGAAATAATTAGTACTGGGGGGGTTGTGAAATGATTGATTGATTGATTGTTTGATTCACAAACGTCGTTTTCGCATGCCTCTCGCCCGCCCCCACACCACATTCAATCAATCAGTCAATCCGTCAATCTCGACGGGTCGTTTCCTTCAAGATCCATCGATATCGATGGATCTTGAAGGAAACGATCCGTTGAGATCGACGGATTGATTGATTGATTGATTGATTGATTGATTGATCGATTGATTGATTGATTAATTGATTGATTGATTGCGAGCGGGGGTGGGCAGATGTGGGAGGAGGTGCGCTATGTGTCCGGTTTTGGATTCAACGCGGGTTCCACGTTGAATTATTCAACGCGCGTTGAATCCCTGTTCAAATGCCCGTTAGACGGGGAAAAACGGGATCCGCAATGATTTTCTTCCTGGGCTAAATGTAATCGAAAATATATATATATATGGGGTTGTAGATCTTTTCGATTTTTTTTATTATTATTATTTTTTTTAACTATACTCTTCTCTCAATTTTTTTCCTCACACTACCTACCTACCACTACTCCTACCTATAGGCATACGGGGAAACCCATAGCATACCAGAGCCGTGTTTTTACGGCCCCTCAAGCCTGCAGGATACCGGCCAGGGGACGGCCGGTAGCAGCAGGGATAAAGCGGACCAATCCCCCGTGCCTCCCCTCAGGCCCCTCCCCTACGAACATAGCAGACTCTGCTTGATGCCGATCGGGGGATCCAGTGGTTTATCTCTTGGGTAGCGGGTGCCAAGTAAGCCCAGGAAGGCATGAGGCCAATGGGGATTGAACCCATGACCTCCTGAATGCCACTTGCGAGCCTTACCAACTGAGCTAGGCCGCTGGATATCTTTTCGATTTCCACAACACCATATTTTTATTTTTATTTTTTGAGCTTCGAATAAAATTTTTAAGAAATCAAAAACATAAGCACAATGAAAAAAACAAACAAAAACAAGAAATGACACAGAGTTTTTTTGGGGGGAGGTTCACAGAGATTTTCTAAGGGCTAAAAGAAAAACAGAAAAAAAAAGTAAAAAATATAGGGTTGTAGATCTTTCAAAGATGTACAACAGCATTTTTTTTTATTTTTTATTTTTTTTGAACTTCGTGTATTTTTAAAAAAATCAAAACCATAAACAACATTTTTTTGGCCTGCATTGCTTAGGTGATCCTGCTGGCCAGTGCTGTGTAGACTCCCTGATTTGGGCCTGTAGAAGATTGCATGAGCGTGGCCTCCGAGGTCCCGTACGGCAAGGTTCGTCCGCTTCC